TTTTAAACTTCTTGGCATGGATTAGTGAGCATTTCCAGCCTTGCATTCATTTGTTGAAACACCTCAATTGTTTTTCTTGCAATTCTCAAAGCCTTGTTTTTGCCAGCACCGTCAGTGTAGACGTCTTCCTTCAGTATTGTTGGTTCTTGATCAAAGAGTACCTCCTGGATTAGTTGACCTTCAAGCATGCAACCAAGATGCCTTGATAATACTCTTGGTCAGATGCAAACATTGGAAACAAAGAAGAATCAGTAGTTGGAAAAGATGGCGTTGGTGATAGAAATGATGCTGGAGATTGCATGAGAGAATTTTGCAAGACCAATGACTTATTCATTGCAATAATGTAAAGAAGCATTCAAACTGTTCTCTGTACTTCCACATTTGCCATAATTTGTCTTACCTTTTTTTCACAAACACTTAATGGTGACTATACACATGGACCTCTCCAGATAGAATGCACAGAAATCAAATGGGCTCCATCTGTGTCAAGAGCTAATGGAGGAACTCAATGTCATCAGTTGGGTCAAGGCCAGTTTTGGAACAGACCAGCAATTGCTCATGTGCAAGCTTAAGTTAAAGCTGAAAATTGAATCCTCAAGAGTTAAAGTACTGCCTTGAAGATATCCTACTTGAATTTGTAGACCATCTCAAGAATAGATTTAAAAAGACAGGGAGAATGAGAAGGTCAAAGTGGGTGTCATAAGCGACTCTAAAAGGTGCTCTTGACTGTAGCTAAAGTGGCTGCAAGAAATGATAAGGTCAATAAACTGAACAGAAATTTCCAAAGGGAGCTGCAGAAGACAAAATACTATAATGAATCAGAAAAGAGCTAGCCTGTGAAAACCCAATACGAATATGCTCTGCGTTTCTCAGCTGAAGAAACTGAAGGAGAAATTCTACGTTCCCCAAAGATTATTATTTATTTTTATTTCCTTTTCCCAAGTTAACTTAAAATAGAGTGAACTCTGGTAAGAAAGGCAGAATCATTGAATTTCTCTTTGGTTTTAAAAACTCGACTGTCATTTTGGCTTTTTGGCTTAACTAGAAAATACTTGTAATTACCTCCACATCTAAGAGGTGCCTCCCTGGCTGTTGAGATAAGTAAGCTCATAGTTTTCTTAGTGTAGAACAGGCAAAATATAAAATATATTTTTTAGAGTCTTAAAACCCATGATTGATTCCAGGTAGGCACAGGTGTGTTCTTTATGTGTGAAACAATTACTGACAGGCTGACTTTAAAAAACAACAACAACCCAAACCTCAAACTCACGTGCCATTGAGGCAACAAAGCAGACATTGCCCCTTTGGATTTCTAAGGCTGCACCTCTTTATGGAAGCAGAAAGCCTCGTCTTTCTCCTGAGGAGCAGAGGGTAGTTTGAACCACCAACTTTGTGGTTCCAACCAACTCAACCTCACTACCGTTAATTTAAGTCTGACTTATGGCGACCGTTTAGGACAGTGTAGAACTATCCCTGTGGGTTTCTGAGCCCAATTCTCAATGGGAGTAGAAAGCCCCATCTTTCTCTTTTGGAATGCCTCGTGGTTTTGAACTGCTGACCTTGCAGTTTTCAGCACAACACATAACCCACTGCTCCATCTGGGCTTCTGACTTTGTGGTTAGCAGCCCAATTTACAACCCACTGTGACACCAGAGCTCCTTGGCAGACCCACTATGATGATTAAAATAAAAAACACAATAACAAGTGTCAACAAGATATGGAAAATATGCAGCCCTCATTGAGTGCTACTGGAATTATAATGTGGTGCAACCACTATGGAAACAGGCAGTTCCTCAAAAAGTTACATACAAATACACACAGTTACTATGGGACCCAGCAATTCCACTGCTGGATTCTATCAAGAGAAATGAAATCATACAAACATGTTTGTTCATAGCACCATTATTCAGAATCGTCAAAAAGTAGAAACCATCCAGATGTGCATCAGCTGAAGAACGACTCAACAAAACACGGTCTAACCACCCAGTGGAATATAGTCCACCGTAAGACAGGAGGGAATTCGGAGACACGGTATAACATGGCCCGTCCTCGGACACGCTGTTCTGGTCACCAAAAAACTCATCAGAAAAGACGTCACGTTGAATGATTCCCTGTACACGCCCAGTCCGCATCGGCAAATCTATACGGACTGCCAACAAGGAGCTGGGGCAGGGAGGACAGACGAGTGCCTGCTCGTGGGCACAGGCTTGATGAGACTGTTCTAACATTACGTAGTGGTGTTGGGCCCACAATTGAGTCCATGAAAGCCAATACCAACCCCACTCAGCCGTACCCTTCACGAAGGTAAGTTTTACATGTGTAAATTATATCTCAATGAAGCTACACTTTATAAAACAAACCACTACCAGCAAAAAAAGGAGCTTAGGCTAGACTCTTGGCATACTATCTGAAGCCAGGTTATAAAGCCTCTGAGGGGCAATAATTTATGTAAGTATTCTAGGTACTTACACAGTGTCTGAACAGAACTTAGACTTTTCTTAAAAGAATAAATATGGTGAGACCAAAGGGAAGGATCTTGGCAATGAATTCTTACAGGAATGTAAGACTGAAATAAAGAAGGTGGGAAACATTATTAGAATTAATTACTCGTTACCATCGAGTCAGTCTTATATCTTATGTAACTCCTTCTAAATCCAATAGCATTTTCAAGGAAGAGCTGACTAAATGATTATAAAGTGTGTCCAGAGGAGAAAAAGTCTTCCCCAAATATGCAAGAAAAGCCAGGCTTTGGAAGAGAATAATTATGAGGACTTCCACAGTAAAGAGTAAAGTACGTTAAGAAAATGCAACATTGAAATGTCGGAGAAAGAAAACAACAACAACACTGGCAAATAGGAACACCAGACAAGGAATAGAATAAGGAAAATGCAAACATGGAGTAATACTCTGTTTTATGGGTATTTACATAATTCATTTCTCATACAACTTTACAGGATAGCTACTGTTAATATCCCCATTTAACAACAAAGAATGAACAGACTCAGAGAGGTTTCACACTTTTCCCAGGGCTATCTAAGTATATGCACAAGGGACCAGGTTTTCAAACCTGTGCTGCCCGAGCCCAGATTCAGCATTCTTAAAGGGTGAATTTTTCATTCCCGGAATTTATCCTTAAATAACGGAAGCTACAATGATGCTGTGCTCAGCATTATTACAAGAGTCGGAAGTTAGAACTAAGCTATGGGAAGTAACGGACGGGGTGTGGAACATACTCCTATCAAACACTCTATGTAGCCATTTAGCGTGATACCAAAGAATATTTACTGCCGTAGAAGTAAGGGCAATTGTATTAAACATAAAAATAGATTCTAAAACCCTGTGCATAATATGACCCTATTTTAAAAATACATTGGTGAGGAAATTATGAATGATTTATATTTTCCTATTTATTTAATTTTGTTATGAAAATTGCTCATTAAGTTTTCCATAACAGAGTGCATTTCTCTAGGGGGGAAAAAAATTCAGTGCTGCTATTGTGGTGGTGTCTTTTCAAGCAGGCCTATGGGGGGATGTCATCCTCCCTCATTCACCACCACGGACTGGCCCCACCCATGGGCCCTGTGGGGCGGGGGGGGGGCGGGGGCTGCAGTCCCTGCGCTTTCCTCTCACCCAGGGCTGGTCCCAGTGTGTTTATCGTCTCCCTTTCTCTCCTCACTCCTGCTTCTCCACTCTCACAGCCTGGAGCTGACTACACTTTGCAGGAAGGAAAGATGGAGAAGGCAGGGAGGGAGAAAGAGGCTATTTTTCCATTCTTCAAGATCCGTCAGTGACAGGAGGACGGCAGATTACTTGCATAATTCTTTATTTGAATTCAGAAAATCGGTAGAGCAGTAAAAAACCTTGATTCAGACCGCTTTTAGATGCTGATGGTGGGGAACCAAAAATATATGGGAAAGACCTTGCACCCCCCCCCTTTTAATTAAAAATTTTTATTATATAACATAGTAGGGACTACATCGGATTTTTTTCCTCAGGTGGCAAATGAGGCAAAAGATAACATTTCTCTCTGCTTCCTAATGAGGACCTTGGAATCATCTGTCTTTTGGAGGATTTAATTTCTTACAACGTCTGTGATACTGCCCCTGAGGATACCAACAGTGTTTCGTAGTAAAGAATATTTTGCTAAGTTGTTCTATCATAGGCCTTTGCTCAAGGGGCTGATCTTTCACTTCTAATCGAGTTTTCAGCACATGATCATGTGTTTCTTTACTATGAGGTATAGGATCTAGCCGAGGAATATGTTTTGTATGTTCGTATGGAATGTCCACAGAAGGGCAGTAGCATACTACAGTCCTGCCATCTGATGTCAAAGCAAGCTCTGCGTTACAATTATAATCATCTGGGAGAGACTGTGTAGATAGATGACAAACACTGTCTAAAACTCTTTCTAATTGGAAAGAACTGTTTGAGGACAGTTCTGTCTGATAGTGCCCATGTTACTGCTGCTACTGCTGTGGTGGACCAAGATGCGTGGCAAACGATGTGATCAAGAGGAACTTTTAAACATCTGCTTCCAGACACATCTATTTTCACCCCTTGACAGGTTCTCATGGCAAAATGGGCCTCTGGTCTCCATCCCCCTTCTACAGAGGAGGTGTGCGCTTTCTGGGTTTAGCGAGGACAGGGTGAATCTTTCAGAGCAGAGACCAGGAAAGGCTGTTGTTTCCTTAGGAAAGGCCGCCGTGCCACCCCATCCTCCCTTTCCTTCCACCAGCTGTCTCTAGAACGCCCTTTTCCTCCCTCGGTCTGGCAGATGTGGACATTGAGGCCTGGTTGCCTTTCAGCCTTTTCTGGCTAAAAGATCCCCAGGGAGCTTGGGGACAGACAGCGTGCTGGCCCTGCTGCTCACAACCCTCATCTGCTCAAACCGTTCCTCTGTGTAGGGGAGAAGTCAGAGAAGTACGCTTAATGCAGTGCCAGTACTTTTATCTTTCATATTCATTCTCTCTCTCTCTCTCTCTCTCTCTCTCTCTCTCCAGGAAGGAGAACAGTTTGTGAAGAAGATCGGTGGTGTGTTTGCCTTCAAGGTGAGGGATGGCCCCGGGGGTAAAGAGGCCACCTGGGTGGTGGACGTGAAGAACGGCAAAGGCTCAGTGCACCCTAACTCAGGTGAGTCGGGCTGCTTCATCATCTATAATGCAGCACTGGGCGTTCACACTGGCCGGCAGCTGGGAAGAGGGGTCTGCCTGCTCTCTGGTTGGTACGAACAGAAGGTGGGGGGTTCGGGGCCACACCGAAGTTCCTTGGAAGGTCGGCCTGGTGATCTATTTTCCAAAAAACTGCCTGATAGAACCCTGTGGAGAACCTCCTCTTCTGACACACATGGAGTCGCGTGAGTTTTGGTTTCCCCCAAAGGGCTACCTTTGTAGGTGTACGGCCGCCTCAGGGACAGCTATTAAACCTGCCTTATTGCTCTTCATTGCACTTATTGTCATCAGGTACTCATGTGATTTTTCACGTATGCACCCACTGCCCGTGTTCCCCACTTGAACTCTCAGTGCCACGAAGACAGATTTTTGCCTGTGTGGTTCATTGCTATCTATGTTCCCAGTACCAAGAGTAGTAGTACCTGGTATATGGGAGGTCTTCATTGAAATAAACAAGTTCAAAATCAATCTCAAGCCCTTCATGAATGAATGGTACATAGTAAACACCCAGTAAGTAGTAGCTATATTGTACTGTGAAGTTTTTGTTTGTTTGTTGGGGGTTGGTGGGGAGGGTGGGCAGAGAGTATGGTGAGGTTTAGGAATATGGTCAATTGGGACAAGCTTTTTAGGAAGGCTTAAAATGCCACGCTGTGAACGTTGAGTGTATACAAGGCTGTGTCCAAAAGTATCACCACTAGGGCTCCCGTTCATACACACACAGGCTCACTCCAGACAAAATATGCATCAGCGTGCCTTGGAGACCAGTGGTGACTGCAGACCAATGCTAGTCTTGTTAGAGTCCCTTCAATAACAGGGTGCATTTTATGCCATGGGCAAAAATGATTCTGAGGTTAGGGCTAATAACAAATTTCTAGCAAAACCAAGGTGGATATTTTTCCAAATCACTGAACTTTTGCATCAAATTGGCGGGAATGCTGCCTCACATAAGATAACTGTTTTCAGGTGGACCAAGCCCTTTCAGGAAGGCCAGGAAGACCTCAAAGATAGGCAAGACAGAGTTCAGCTCAGAAGGTGATGGCAACAATTTGGGGAGGGTTCTAATGGCATAATCTTGATAGAATTTGTTGATGTGCACAGGATGATCATGAGGGCTTATGATGAAAAACGAAAGAAAATGGATAATTGCATTGGTGAGAGAGAGTTGCACCAAGGGGGGGGGGGGTGTTTTTCTTCTCTCGTGACAGTGCGCATGCTCATTCTTGGAGGGCTGCAGGGCAGTCTGTCCTATGAGGACAGCACTGGGAAACCTTACTCTATCCGCCCTGCAGCCCTGATCTTCCCCTTCAGATTTATTTTTCCTTCTTGAAACTCAAAGGGCACTTACCAGGGACATACTGAGCCTCTCGGGGCTGCCCCATGCTGTTCTTTTGATGTGGTGTCAATAGAAGAGCCCAGCCGTCTACAGGGAGGGGCTGCAGAGACAGCTGCCCCACCTTCAGAAGCGGAGGGACCTAATGGAGGAGGATGGAGACAGCAGTAGCTTCACACTTTGGTCATTTTATTTAATGGAAGTTTCTATAATTTTATAACTGGACTTTTTAACTTATGCTTGTATAATCAATTCACTAGAGGTTTTTAAGTGAAAACTCTGCAAATCAGAGCTGTGTTTTAGAAGATGCAGCTGGTACCTTAGACCTGATGAGCTGGAAAGAGAGAGACCAGAGGCCTGGAGAGCAAGGAGGGGGGTGGGGGTTGCCAACAGTCTCAAGTTTGCAGGTGCGGCTGAGGGTCGGCCGTGAGAAAGTCGGGATGAGGTGAAGGCTGGATGCCAGGGACCCAGAGGGGTCATTGATGGGGTCTGGAGGCTCTGCAGGAGCAGGCGGTCCACCTGAGATGGTAGGGTTTTGCTATGTGTACCTTCTGAGTGATGTCCTGAAGGACGGAGGAGCATCAGGAGCCAAGTGGAGGGGGATTGGCCTTTAGAAAGGAGAGGTGGGTACCTCTGTCTCTGAGAGGGTAGAGAACGAGTGGGCATTTGGAGGTGGAGAGGTTGGCAGAGCCCTAGCATAGAGTTTTGAGCTTGGAGACAGAAGAAAATCCTGAGCACTGCTAATTCACTGCTTCGTAAGGAACCCATGAGTGAGGAAGGCAGAAAAGCTGAGCAGTAGCCAGGGCATCTGGTGAGGCCAGCGTGGCTTTGCTGTGGAAGGTTCCTGAATGATTTATATAGTCTCCCTGCCTCCCTCCTCCCCTCCCAAATGGGCAGAAAGTGACAAGATGTTAGCATTCTATGAGAATCCTTTGGTGCAGGAAGGAACATGAAATGTCTCCTCTAGACCCTAGCCTTTAGAAATAGGACGAGCTTTTGGAAATACAGTCGTATTTCATACATGGTGACTTCAGGGTTATAGCCTCAGAAGCCCAGGTAGGTGATTTTAAAAAACATTTCCCCTGTTTGCCTCCCATTTTGGTTTGTTGGTTGCCATAAAATAGAATGTTCTTATGGAAAGCTGTGGAATCGTTTCCGAGAAGGCTGGTCTCCTACAAATAGCTGGGGGTATGTTCTCCCCAAGTTAGGTGACCCATCCAGACCCGAAAGGACCTTGACCCAGGGCAGGGCGATTTGCTGAAACACACACTCATTGGCAGCCAGGAGTAGCGTTGAAATAGGGACTTCTCCAGTAAAAGCCACCATGGGAAAATGCCAGCTCCATTTACATCAACCCACAAATGCCCATTTGTTAGAGATCAGCTCAGTAAAGCATTAATAACCTGTCCTGGCTTGAACTGGCGTCTGAGAGGGAATTTCTTCTTCTTTTCATAGTTTTGAGAGGTTTCCTTTGTGCCACCAGGTGATTTTGTATTTCACTCACGTGTACTTTGGAGAACTTGGATATGATTATCCAGATGGTTATTTTAAGAGTTGAGAGTTGGGGCATTTCCCATAACCTTGTTTTGTTGCGTGGAGGCCTTTTAGTGCCTTCGCCCCTAGTTCTGCCCCACCGGCCCCGCTTCACAAGGACTCAGGTAGCCTATCACCAGGAAGCCAGCCTTGATCAAGCCAATGCCACTCATTATTCCCGCAGTCCTTTATTCCCGCTCCGCACTTGCTTGAGCACCCTGTCCTTTGGGAGGATCATGATACAGAAAACCTCAGCCTCCCCCTCACCTGAGCCCCCCCCACCCCAGCTCCCATCCCAAGCTTTAGTGGAAAGAACACACACAGCTTCGGGAGACACTCAAACCTGGGTTTAGATGGTATTCGTGTCACTTTCCTCGTGTGTACCTTCCCTGCATCCAATTGCCACATCAAGAAAATGGTGAGAGTAATTTCCATCCGTAGAGTTTTTATGCTGATTAAATGAGATAACGACGGTAAAGCACCTGGCACAGTACTCAGAAAAAAACACCCAAACCTCACTGCCATTGAGTCGATGCCAACTCATCAGGACCCTATAGAAGAGGATGGAGCTACCCCTGTGGGTTTGCAAGACTCTAACTCCGTACAGGGGTAGAAAGCCTCATCTTTCTCTCCTCGGAGCAGCTGTGGTTTCGAACTGCTGACATTATGGTTCGCAGCCCAGTACATAATCACTACGCCTCCAGGCATAGTGAATGCTCAGTAAATCATTACTCCCTCCACATCCCGCCTATCACACATTATTATTTTTTTATGTCTATGACACAACAAAGGAGCCCTGGTGGTACGGTGCCTCAGTGCTGCCTGGAAGGTCAGCGTGTCAAGCCCACGGCCACTGTGGGAGGAGCTGACAGCCTTGGAAGCCCTATGGGCAGTTCTCCTCTGCCCTCAGGCTCACTACCAGTTGGAGCCTACTCAGTTATCACACTGCTCAGAGCCTACCAGTTTATCGCACAACTGTTGCCAAGTAAGCATAACACTAATTCTACTTGCACACATTAGGCTTATCCAAGACCCCTCAAAAGGATGTGGGGGACTAGGAGAACAGCTGGGATTCTTTGGATGCTGACAAGCTGATGGAGCCCCCCACTTGCAGCAGAGGTGAACATGCATGCTTCCTGGAACCAGAGGAGGCAGTTACGCACAGGAGGAGCGAGTATAGGCTTTGGAAACAGGAATCTGCATTCCAGCATAGCTCAGCCACTCACCAGCTCTGGGACCATGGGCAGGTGATCTGACGTGTCCAGCCTTCATCCAAAAGAACCAAGCCCACTGTCATCTAGGTGACTTCAGTTCATAGTTACCCTGACCTTCCTGGAGAGCAGCGGGTTTCTGAGGCTGACATCTTTACCGAAGTAGGTTGCCACAGCTTTCCTCCGCTCGCCCTCATGTTGCTTATGTTGTTAAGTGCCATCAAGTGAGCTCTGACCCAGAGCAACCCTGTGCCCAACACTGCTCGGTGCTGGCCCATCCTCACATTTGTTGCAGCCCCGCTGTCAGCCCATCTCCTTGATTGCCCTCTTCTTTCCCACTGACCCTCCACTTGAGCAAGCAGAGGTCCTTTCCTGGGGACTGGTCCCTCATAACATTGGCTTACCTTGGCTCCATCCAAATCATTAAGGTCAGCTCTACTGAGAGGGGCAGCTCTTCCCCAGGCATATTTTGGGTGCCTTCCACTCGGAGAGACTCGTCTTCCAGCACTGTCTCAGGCCGTGTCCCTGTCATTTATAAGGTTTCTACTGGCTCATCCCTCAGAAGCAGATCACCTATTCTTTCTCCATGGTCTTTGACGGGGAGCTCTGCCGGAACCTGTTCATCAGGGGTGATCAGAATGGTATTTAAAGTGGCAACAACATGCAAGCCAGCACAGCACGGCAAGCGCTGACCCTCATCGGGTTGCTTAAAGAACAGATGGGGCGAGTGTGTGAGGTGCTCAGTCAACACTCAATACTCCATCTGCAGCACGAGCAGCAGCAGGACCATTGCTGAAGTTGCCTTTAATAACTAAAAATCCCGTTTGGGAATGTTAGGATCAAGCCCGACCACAAAGATCTCACCTTGCTAGTTTTTCCCCTGTTCTT